CCGGCCCCCTCCGCGCGCCCTTCAGTGTTTCTTGCAGGCGGGACGCGTTCCAGCGGGGCGGGCGGCTTCCTCCGACTGTCCCCAGCGCCCGGCGCGGGCCGGAGCAAGGGGAGCGGGCACGGCGCCCCGGGTCTGCTAGCGGAGTGCACTGGCAGGGGTCGAGCGCTCTTCTCCTCCCCGCCCCCACGGCACGCTGTGGCGCAGCAGGAATTTGGCGGGGACCCGGGCGCTATTTGAGGTTCTTGACGCTCTGGAGGAGGCTGCTGGTGGCCCTTCAGTCATTTCTATTCTGAGGGCACTGGGTCATCGCTCTTGGCCGCCGCCGGCTGGCCCCCTCCCCGGAGGCCGGAGGGTGTGTCCCCCGCTCGGGGGCTCGCCGCACCTATAAGGGGGCTTGAGCGGCGGGCAGGGACATGCAGCTCTACAGCAGCGTCTGCACCCACTACCCAGCCGGGGCACCGGGTCCCACGGCCGCAGGCCCCGCTGCGCCCGCTGCCGCCGCCCCCTTCAAGGTCTCCCTACAGTCCTCGGGGCCTGCCAGCACTGCGCCGGAGCCCGAGACCGGTGAGTGCCAGCCCGCCGCGGCCGCCGAGCCCAGGGAAGCCGCCGCCGCAGCCGCCGCCAAGATGCCCGCCTTCTCCTCTTGCTTCGAGATGGTGTCCGGGGCCGCAGCTCCCGCCTCGGCCGCCGCCGCCAGCCCGGCCGGCGCGTCCTGCAAGCCACCGCTGCCGCCGCACTACACGTCCACGGCGCAGATCACCGTGCGGGCCCTCGGCGCCGACAGGCTCCTTCTGCATGGGCCCGAGCCCGGCGCTGCGGCGCCCACCACCAGCCAGCGCGGCCGCTGCCTCCTGCTGGCTCCGACACCTGGAGCCCCGGTCCCGCCGCGGCGGGGCTCCTCCGCCTGGCTGCTGGAGGAGTTCCTGAGGCCCGACGGCCCCGAGCCTGCGGGCCTGGACGCGGCCCGAGAAGGGCCCGACAGAAACTTCCGACTGAGCGAACACCGCCAGGCCCTGGCCACCGTCAAGCACCGTGGCCCCAGCCCGTCCCCAGGGAGCCCGGAACCTAGCCCCGGCTCATGGAGCGAGGAACACCCGGCCGAAGGGAGCACTCGGGGCTGGGAGAGGGGCGGCGACCTTGCCGGCGCGGATGAGGCGCAGCGGCCAGGCCCGGAGGCCGCGGCGCCCTCAACGAGGAGTGGCGAGGCCGCCCCAAGCAGCGCGGCGGAGGCGGGGATCGTCTCCAGGTCGGATCCCAGAGATGAGAAACTGGCCCTGTACCTGGCGGAGGTGGAGAAGCAGGACAAGTACCTGCGACAGAGGAATAAGTACAGATTTCACATCATTCCGGATGGAAACTGTCTCTACCGAGCGGTCAGCAAGACCGTGTACGGAGACCAGAGCCTCCACAGAGAGCTAAGGGAACAGACGGTGCACTACATCGCTGATCATCTAGACCATTTTAGCCCCCTGATCGAGGGAGACGTGGGGGAGTTTATCATCGCTGCTGCTCAAGACGGAGCGTGGGCCGGGTACCCTGAATTGCTGGCGATGGGGCAGATGCTGAATGTGAATATACATTTAACTACAGGAGGGAGGTTAGAGAGCCCCACAGTGTCTACCATGATCCACTATTTGGGCCCCGAGGATTCCCTAAGGCCTAGTATCTGGCTTAGTTGGCTCAGTAATGGACACTATGATGCGGTATTTGATCACTCATACCCTAACCCGGAGTATGACAATTGGTGCAAACAAACTCAAGTGCAAAGAAAACGTGATGAAGAGCTTGCCAAATCCATGGCAATATCCTTATCTAAAATGTATATTGAACAAAATGCATGCTCTTGAAATGTTTGAAAACCAACACCCTGGGAAAATTGAATAAATAACTTGTGTTTGGAGCATACACGAACTCAAATCAGGGTAATAGCACTTTTAAACTTCCTAGTATATTTACTGTAGATATAAAGCCTTAATCATTTTTTTGAATGTTTTCTTCCCAGAGCTGAAGGTTGCTGGGCACCTAAATGATGTTTTATGAGAGCTTTGGGTAATCCTACTGCTATTTATAATTTGCTGTATAAAGTTAGCACTACTTGATTTGCAAGCTGATTTCTCACAGTGTAAATTTGTTCATTCCTGGCAATCTATTTTCTATAAAAAGGTATTTTTGCACAACATTTTTAAAAATTGGTGTATCTTTCATCTATGACGTGTTCCATTTTGACAAGCAGCTTTCAGGCATATATCCAGAGAAGTGCTTTATATGATGTTTATTATTTTGAAGAGTTTGTGATTTAATAGTTATTTTATGTTGTTGAAATCTGGATTTTACAATTCTTAGATAATTATTTCAGATGGACATTGATGCAGTCATGTTACCATTATTGGCCCATTCCATTTTGATTAAACAGAAACAGATTTGTTGTTTTGGAAATCATTATTTTTCTAAGTATGGTCAATCTTTTAAAGAGAAATACTTAAGGTTGTAGGGATAATTTTTTTTTAAGGGATAGTACCAGGTCTTACTTGAATGAAAGTCAGGTATTTGTAGATGGCACAGTGATTATTCTGTACTCTGCTGAATGTTTAAGGAGTCTTGGTGGCACAGTGGTTAAGCTCTCAGCTGCTAACTGAAAAGGTCAGCAGTTCAAAACCACCAGCTGCTCCAAGGGAAAAAAAGAAAAGATGAAGCAGTCTGCTTCAGTAAAGATTTACAACGTTGGGAACCCTGTGGGGCAGTTCTCATCTGTCCTGTAGGGTCACTATGAGTCAGAATTGACTCTAGCAATGGGTTTGTTTTTGGGTTTTGTTCCATGTTTAGATAGTCTGGTGCTCTCAATTATTTTTATTTATATTTGTCATTTTGTTACAAAAGGATTTTAACATAGTATAAAACTTTGTGACAAGATAAGCCTCCTGCTTTATATAGCTACTTGGATTCACCCAAGATATTTGAAAACTAACAGCATAAATGCTTCCAACTTTGAAATTTATTTTATAGTTGAAGAATACTGTTTAAATATTCTCAAAAGGCAAAATAGGATTGCCCTGTATTATGTAAAAATGTCTGTAAACAGATTGTATAGTTTGCTGGGTCAAACAATGTTATCAACCTGAAATCTCGTTTCCACTTTAACTACTTTAGTTATATTTATTAAGTAATGCAGTTTGTACTTTTTTTTTATTTTGTAACATTTTGTGATTTTTGTATAATGTTGTATTTGTATAATAGAGCAATTCTCTGCTGATGCAATGAATGAATAAAATGCATAATTTTACTTTTAAATGCCTTTTTGGATAAAATTTAAAATTATATAATTATTTCTGTAGGAACCTTTCTTACATGCACACTATTTTTTTTTTTCATATGTAAAGATGCCACAGAATTATGAGAAGTTTTTCTGAAGTCTCACATGAACAGGATTAGATATGATAATCATAAGTAATTGCAAAAAGATAAATCTTACAATGAAAGAAAAAGGTGGGGAAACTCAAGAAATTGCTCTCATTATTTCTAATTATAATGCCTATCTAAAATTATAGGTGCACCTATTGGCGAAAGAACAAGGAAGTACAAGCACTGTGTTAACCAGCACGTCTAATTAAATGTTAGTTTTGTATTCTACTCACTCTCAGCAAAGATTTAATGTCTTAAAGAGTAAGAAAGCAGTGTCTTAATTTTTATCTAGTCTGGTCTCTTGGGACCTTAGAAATCTGTTTTGAGATGTGTTAGCAGATTAGTTGAAAATGCACAGGAATGCATAATGCTGGGTGTGTCTTTTGGTGTTGCAGAATAAAAACAGCTACTTTGGAATTTTTACTTTTGAGTTGATTGTTTGGTCATGATAGCTGTAGAGACACCTGAGCTTGAGTTCATTCCTTAACTACATTTTTGGGAGACTGGTAATAGTTTTCAAGGAAAGGCATTTTTCAGAGGTTTAAATGTTAACTAGTCATGGATCTCTTTCCTTTGGGAAGATGAGTGTTGCATCATGACTTTACTAATTCAGGTACTTTGGGGAGAAAACTACATTTATTTGAATTACCTATTAAATATAGTTCTCTTTTTCTCTATTTAGAGCTCTGGGAGATTTGGGACTTCTTAAAATTTATATGTGGAATGAAAGAAAGATGTTTTAGACACAAGTTCCTCAAAAGCACTAATAATTCTTTGAGCCTATTACTATTTTTCGTGGGTTCCTTTGTGTTGCTCAGTTTCATTTTCAAATGAGAATCCCAAGTCCTTGATTTAGATTTCTTTCAAGAAATTCCTTTTAAGATATATATGACTGAAAGGATTTTAACTGAAATGTGATTTAAAAAAAAAATTGTTGAAAATACACACAGCAGAACATACACTAATTCACCAATTTCTACATGTACAATTCATTGACACTTCCAGTTGTGCAAACAAGCTCACCCTCCTCTTCCAAGTTGTTCCTCCTTCATTAACATAAATTCACTGCCCCCTAAGCTATCTACCTAACCTTAGTTTCTATTGTCACTTTCCCATATAGATAACTCAATCCATTGCCATAGATTCCAATTCACAGTGACCCTACAGGACAGAGTAGAACTTCCCCATAGGGTCTCTAAGGTCATAAATCTTTACAGAAGCATACTCTGCCACATCTTTCTCCCAAGGAGTGGCTGGTGGTTTTGAACTATCAACCTTTCTGTTGGCAGCCAAGTGCTTAACCACTGCACCATATGGATAGTTCTTTAAATGAGCACAATGCTCAAGGCAGACATTTCTTACTGATTAAAGAAAGACTTAAGGGTATTTTTGGTTTAAGGTTTAAGATCCATGTTTTTTAAAAAATATATATATTTTGTTGGGTTTTAAGTAAAAGTTTACATAGCAAATTGTTGTTGTTGTTGTTATTTGCCATCGAGTCGGACTCAACTCATAGTGACCCCTCCTTGGGTTTCCAAGGCAGTATCACTATGGAAGTAGATTGCCTCATCTTCCTTCCGAGGAGTGGCTGGTGGGTTTGAACCGCCAGCCTTCTGGTTAGCTGTCAAGTGCTTTAGGCACTATGCTACCAGAGCTCCTACATAGCAAATTAGGTCCCCATTTAGTAATTTTTATACAACTTGTTGTGTGACATTGGTTACAGTTTTCAAGGCGTGTCAGCATCATTATTTCCTTTCTGTTCTGTTTCCATCTCCTTTTGGGTAAATGTTGATTGTCTCTTTTAGTTGATTGTTTAAGGGAGCACATTACTCACATGGGACACTGTTTATTTTATAAGCCAATCTATTATTTGGCTGAAAGGTGACCTCTAGGAGTAGCTTCCATGCCAAGCTCAAAGAATATGGGTGATAGTCTTAGGTGTTTCTCTAGTCTCTTATCGATCAGGAGGTTTGGCCTTTTTTTAGGAATCTGAATTTTGTTCTACATTTTTATCCCATTCTATTGTAATCTATTGTTTCCCTGGACAGAATGGTCAGCTAGGCACCATCTACTTTGTTTTCTCAGGTTTCTATGGACTAGTTTCTTCTCTGAGTCTTTGATTTCCTCCATTCTGTTTTGCTCCAGACAAATAGAGACCAATAGTTGTGTCTTAGATGGCTGCTTACAAGCTTTTATGACCCTAGACACTGCTCACTAAATGTAGAACATTATCTTTATGAACTATGTTATGTCAGTTTACTATTGTCCCATAAGACTATGGTCTAAGCCTTTTAACCCAGTAAACCAATGCTGTGAATTATTTGGATATGTCTAGGACATCTTCTAGGAGCTCTGGTAGTGTAGTGCTTAAGGCACTTGACTGCTAACCAGAAGGCTGGCGGTTCAAACCCACCAGCCACTCCTCAGAAGGAAGGTTGGGCGATCTACTTCCGTAGTGATACTGCCTCGGAAACCCAAGGAGGGGTCGCTATGAGTCATGTCCGACTCGAGGGCACATAACAACAACAAATACATACTTATACATGTATGTGCATGTATTCACATGCCAACCTATACACATATATGTATACATACCTACCTGTGTAACCACACTGTTTTTGTTTTTTTGGTGGTGGTTATTGTTCGTAGCGTGAAGTTTTTTAATAAAACTTTAGATCCTAAAATCTTACTACACGGCAGCATGTTTTTTAGCTAGTCTAGCCTAGAAGGTCTGTGTATATCTTTACCATACTCTTTCTAAGGCTTAATTTTTGAAGAGGAAACATAGGATTCGGCACTCCCTTATGCTCAATATTTACTCTCTACAGCCACGCCAGTTTTATTTGATAGCAGTAGCAGTCCTGAGTCACTGAAGACTTGAGCAGTTGAAGAGGTGGACATGTGGTTAATTCTTATTTACTTTTAGCAAATACTTATTAAACAGTTCATTACTTCATTTACTCTTATAAAGCAGCTAAGAGACTTAGAATTACAAAGGAAACAGTTGATGTTCTGAACTAAAGTTTCTTTAGAGTCGTTTTGACTCATAGCGACCCCTCCTTTAGTTTCTGAGGCAATACCTCTACAGAAGTAGATTGCCCAATCTTCCTTCTGAGGAGAGGCTGGTGGGTCTGAACCACTAGCCCTCTGTTGTTTGTTGTTGTTCTCTAGTTAGCAATAAAATGCCTTAGGCCCTGTGCCATCAGAGCTTCCACATAAAATATGTTGTTGTTGTTATGTGCCCTCGAGTTGGACACAACTCATAGCAACCCCGCCTTGGGTTTCTGAGGCAGTATCACTATGGAAGTAGATTGCCCAACCTTCCTTCCGAGGAGTGGCTGGTGGGTTTGAACCGCCAGCCTTCTGGTTAGCAGTCAAGTGCCTTAGGCACTATGCTACCAGAGCTCCTACATAAAATATAAGGTAGAATAAAATCTGGTGTTTTCAG